GATGAAATGTTCAGAAGGAAATCAACAAGGTCTGCTTAACATAAATAGAAAAGGCAAAGAGATTGAGCACATATGAGAGGAAGTGAAGGCAATTAAATTCAGGCGGGAGCTCGTAGACAGGATTTGCGTATCCTTATACATAGCATTTAATAATGATGCGCAAGAACTTGCATCTTGAACAATGATTTACCAGCGATATTTGAAGCAAGACGCAGCACACCAGTTTAATATGGTATCTTTTTGTTGTCCACATCACTTTCGCACAGTACCTTCACACCAAACACACATCTCATCCACCCCCTTCAAACTCATTTCACCAACTGAACACGCTGCGAAAGTGCCCACCCGAAAAAGCACCACGTCAATACTGACGTGAGGACACCGCATCACGTTCGCCAATGGACTTCAGGCAACACCTCATCGCGTTTTCATCCTCAACAAGTGCACCAACACAACACTACACAGCAATACCAGCGACACACACCACACACGATAACAACACAAACCCACTTCACCACTCCTCCCCACCAACCACCTTCCCAAAACACAATCAACTCCTCCCGCATCTCGCGCTTGAGGCATGCAGATCTCAAAACACACATGACAACCAAAATGTAGCAGTCTTCACCATCTACACGCAGCTCTACGAACTCGCCCCAACGGAGGACCAAAAGTTAGGATTTGGTGATGCCACCTTTCCACCGCGACGACAACGACCACTTCACATGACTCCTTCACCCCATACATCGGTTTCAACACTGCAAGTAACAGTTCACTACCACCGTCCACATCCTACATTGCACTGATCAACCAACACCCACCACCACACCAAACACAACACGAGCTTACACCTAAGGTCGCGAGCTCAACAAAACACCATCCACCGACTATGCAGCAGTCGATGCTAAACCGCATCCGAGACCAGAGATCTCATTCAGTGAATCAGCACATCCAAATCATGACAGAGGACACACGAACAGATGAAGAAGGTGGACAAGGTGAAGGCGGGTTAGTGAAACAGTTCACATACCTTCACGTCGTCAGGGGGAAACAATACCAAATCTCTGTGCGGATCGTCCATTATCGAGGCTTTGTTCCGCACAAGGTACTGTTCATAGTCGATCGGTTCGCTGACGCAGGAGATTTTCTTAAGAAAAAGAACTCATCTTTGACCTGGTCCTAAGACGAATACAATTTTATGACCCTAATCACACCTGCAAACTGAAGCTGACATTTTCCACTTAATCACAACAGCAACTCGTAGGTGCCCAGAGAGTAAAAAAAGGAAACAAGATGAACAGGTATTATCTTAGTACACAACCGAGAGAGGGGGCTCCGTAAATATTCTAGATGCAATATTACTTACAAAATTTGAGAACGCATCCTCGAACTGATTTCTCCACCGTGCACAAGACGTTGCACAACTTCTCGGTTCTCAAGCGTGCTTACCAAAAGCCTTTATATTACATCTAGGAAGCCATGTTCGGTCCAGATGGTGACATTTTACCAAAAATTGCTCAACCTTGCAGTGCTTCCAATATCATCGTAGATTTTGTTACAGTGCTGAAAAATCTAATCGACGGTCAATGAGAGCCTCAAAATTTTGACATGTAAACCTCGAATGCAATTGTTCAAAATAAAAGCCTCTGACTAAAAGTTAGCTGATGCTATTATAGACACCACAAAGAAGCCGTTACCGATACAATAATTAACTATTTTATGCTTTGTTTATGTTATCACCTGACGTTTGGCGATCTGCTTGAGATTCATATGTGGGCTGTGAAGATGGATTGGTTTTCGAGTAGAACTCAGGCACAGTTGCTTAGTCTTATTTGGAATACATATGTGCGGCTTCACTTACTGCCTTCTTCCGCCCGGTGAGGAGTCTCGGAACGCTACACTGGTGGCAGCAGAAAGCGAACCGGATGTTTTTCCAACGACTTGTATCCTAGCACGTACCGTTTGTTGCATACTCCTAAGGCGTGGAAGAGACGGAGTTGCAGCGGTGGCAGGGTCTCTGAATTTCTTACAACGGAAAGGTCGAGACTGACTTCTGCATTTGGCTCTACCTTATTCCCGTGTTCCACAGACAAGCTATTAACAACTTAACTTAAGTTTCGAGTCAGGATTCCTCCTACAAAATCCGTGCATAGATGTCGGAAATGACACTACGGTTCTCCTTACATACGGGAGTTCCATCGTCTATTCCTTAAAGCAACTGATGGTCAACAGGTGTATGCGGCATTGAATCTGATTGTCATACTGAACGTAACTCCAGATCCAATTGAGACTGCAGAGGAGACCAACTAATGTTTCTCAGTGTCGACTGGCGCAGTTGGTTCGTAGGCGCTTTCTTGTAGTACCGAGTATGTTGTGATGACTGGCGCAGGTGTACCAAGGGGAGCGCCGAGGACGTTGCTCAAAAGAAGAGGGATAGTGTAATGCTTTGTTTACGTTACCACATGACCTTTTTGCGGTCCCTTTAGGATTTGTCTGGCTCTTGTACTCGTGGGCTGCCCTTCGGGCCATGCTGAGGCGCAGTTGCTTTGTCCTCTTTGGAATACTTGTATCCAGTTTCACTTCCCTCTTCCACTCTGTGGGAAGTCTCCAGACACTATGGGTGTTGAGTTGTTTATTTTGTAGATATCCTTCTTACTGAGAAATGCTTTTTTATTCCATGATATTGTTGAGGGGTGGCTGAAGTGGTATGGAGGATTGGGGAATCGTTAAGTTGCGTGGAAGAGTTAGTTTGGTGGGTGCAGCGTTGCTTCCAGTCAGAGGTTCTATCTGTCGAGTACCT